AAGTAGTGTAGCGTTGTGCGTTTCTATGATGGCCTATTGAATATACCAACAGCAAGGTCTTTAGTTTCGTTTATCAGTTTTGTTCTACACAAGAACAACTCATGCAAACTGCATTCTTTGTCATATGATAAATTTAACTGTGTTGACTAACGTCATTGTATTGAGGCTAAACTCGAATATTCACAAGAAATAACGGTTCACGGTACACTTGCCTAAAATATCCCTTTCTTTGCTGTGGTTTTCTTGGCCAGAGTTCCCAACAACCGTTTCTGTCGCAAAAAAAAAATTGTACCAGTGATATAACTAAGTAGAATGACTAAATCTGAAAAAATAAAGTGTTGGTTACTATTCCATTGTTGTTTTAGAGTGTTGGTGAAGTTCATCGTTTCAAATAATGCATGTTACGTTCCTCCAGAGTTCAGGATTGATCCTTACAAATGCGAAAGAAAGAAAATCGAATCTCCAAGTTTGAAAATTTACTTTTGATTTGATAGTTGTGAGGTTTGGCGCCTGGAAAAGCCGATATAAAACAATATGACGTTGGAATCTCGATGCAGGCGATAAACTAACGAGGCACATATTTACAAACGTCGAACATAACCTACTATACATGTGATATTTAAAGTTAATCAGTTGCGGATTACTCATTACGAAAAGTAAACCAAGACATTGTTAGTTTTACTTTTGCTGCTTGGAACTTGCTAAAGTGCCGTTTTAGACCATTTATGATGTTGAAAACCGTACGTGCGATTGAATATCGACGAAAAAGACTTTCGTACCATCTAGTGTTTAAATGCGCGAGGCTAAGAACTGACGAGGATTTCCCTATTTCTGCAGACTGTTTTGATAATTTTTAAAGTTTATTTTGAACTATTAATTTCTTTTGTATCGTTCACACTATGTGTTACAAACGCAAGCTAGGAAATGCAAAGGCAAAGGAACGTAAAGAACGCAAACGTTGTCAAGAGACTGAGCTTAGTGGAGGGATTAAATATCACCAGGCCTCGTAATTTTGCCTTAGCCTACATGCTCCGTAATTATTAATCAGCCACTGCTGCGAATTTATCATTGCTGTATGTATTTGTAGCGAAGATCAGACAGTCTTGATGGAAATATGTGTTGCTATCTCTCATGGAGATTTTACCGTCATAGAGGCTGGAACGAGTGCATGATCAAACGTGTTTATATGTTTGTCATATTGATGTTTAGACTACGAAAATGAAGTAATTGCTTACAAACGACCAAATGAAGAAAATTTGAGATATTTTCACAGTGGATCTATCGGATGGGACTTTGATGTGAGTATTAGTTAGTTATTTGTAGCCATTAAGAACTGCTCAACGGACACTGTTGCATTGAACTTTTGGGACCTTCTGAACAAAGTCTGAAACCTGTTGCATAAAGTGTCTGTTTGGCTTCAGGAGTAAAATTTGGGTTGGCAATACAATACAATTATTTTTATACAGATCATCCGTCCCATTATTTTGACTCGTCTTGGCATCTCTTTATCATCGTTGAATTCAAAAAGAAACTCTTCTGTTCGACTCTACGACAGAACAACTAAGGTTAAACCATGCAGTTTATAAATACCGTTTACAAGTTATTTGATCTAAATTGTTTTATCTCGTTTCAGAGCGAAATTATATCTGTTTATTTCTCTTTCCAAGACCCTGGTACAACAGAAAACGGTTCGTCGTTTAAAGCAATTGAAAACTTTATTTTGCCAAAGGTGAGTAACAAGTCGATAATTTATCAAAATATTCAAGTGAATTGTTTGAGCTCGGGAGTATCGTTATCATGTTTGTACAGGTTAGTAGAGTGCTGAGAAGGGCTGTTGGTGTTGATGTTGACTGATGTTTCGACAACCTTAGTGGTTGTCATCTTCAAAGTCGAGTGAGGAGTAAACGTCTGCAAGCAGATAACAAATATGGCAAACCTGACGTTTACTCCTCACTTGACTCTGAAGATAACTACCACTAAAGTTGTCGAAACGTCAGTCAACATCAACACCAACAGTCCTTCTCAGGACTCTACTGACCTGGACGATCTACATGCACAAACATGTAAGATATTGAAGCTTAGTCACAAAGTTAATTATGACTTTGAACTTTTCTATAGAGTTTGAACATTTGGTACGTTTCAAATGCCATTATAGGACTTCAAGGGCAGCGTCGTGTCTGAAAACGTAAAATGTTCAAGTTCTCGATGCAGAAAATGCGAGTATTTTGCCAACATTGAAAACGGAGAGGATTATTTCAATGTACACAAGGTATAAAACCATAAAGAAGTTTTATGTCATAGCCAATTGGAGGTGAATTGTTATGATTTAGAGCAAGTGAAGCGATTTTCTCCGAAAGAATTACTATCCAGTAATAAATGTTTTCTTCGGTGCCCTCTTATCGATATTTGGACTAAATTATTGACATTTTACGATATTGCTAAATACAAGTTTTCAATGGATATTTATTGTTTATTTTACAACAGATTCTTGAGCACGAGGCTTTATTTCGCTTTTGATGTAGCAAATTCATGTGTATTAATAAACAATTGGTTACTTAATCGATGTTGCAAGCATTACTAATCTACTAGAACGTATATAAAGGGTTTCCAATTCAATGTTAAATAATTTTATATTTTGTTGGCTACAGTTACAAATCTATGGTGAATACTAACCCAAACCTACTTTTTCCTAGATAAGACGGATTAACAACGAGTTCGCCGTCTTTCCCGAAGTCGAGGAATCAATTCCTGATGCTAGATGCGTGGATGGGGCTGGAACGTTCATGTATCGACTTTACAGTAGGTGTTTTTATGCTACATTACGTACGTACTGACTTCTTCGTTTTCGCGGTTAACAACGAGAAATTTGATGCAACAGTTGCTCTTAACTGGATTTTTTTCTGCGCACATTGAAAAAGAAACAAAATATCCTCAGCAGTAAAGTGGATTTGTTGCTAGCATTTGTTGGGAGTAAGCCTCTTCTCAATTTTAGTTTAATTTTAATGAAGAATGCCTCTCCTGTTGTAGCCCACGCATTGCCCCAAAGCCTTATAAGCTGTGAGTCTTTTCCGTTGGAAGCTTGCGAGAATTTTTAATTTTGTTTACTCTTTAAGAGAAGAGAAAATTTTGAAAACAAAAAATCCCGTTTTCGGTCCATTTCGATATCCTATTAATTGAAAGGTGGCAAATATCCCTATTACTTTGGGATGTCAATAGCAAGCTTTGCCCATCAGACCCTGCGATAGGCTTTTCTCGGGGTACGATGCTGCTAAAATCGGATTTGGATATTTGTTGGTAGGGTGGTTTCTTGCAATGAAGTGCAAAGTACACATGCATGTACGTAATAAATTGGATGGCTGTCTCTATGCGATCAAAAGAAGTCATATGAATCCGAAAAGTTAACTGTTTAACCGTAAAATCACTCGAAATGTAAAGTTACTTTCTAGATTGAACCGTGAAAATAAGGTAAAAAGAAAGTTATTATTCACAATGAATTTATGACATAAGGGTATAATTTAAACGATACAAATGGCTTGGCTTATTAAATGCTAACTTTGTAAAATCTATTATAAGAATTAGATAATCCATTTTTTCCATGAAGCTCATGGATACTTTTGTTCATGATATGAGAGTTATATTGTATAAGGAGGCTCTCGTTCATCACGAGAGAGTTATGAGATAGTTACCTTGTAAAAGTTAACATGTAAAAAGCGTATAAACATATTTACAGTTGGTTTAAATTATAAGTCATTAAGGCGGAATTTTTTTTAACTTTTGCAATATCCTTGAATGTTCTAGTTTCTTTTTATACAAAAAAAAAGATTAAATTCAAAAGCAAAAAACCCCGTTTTCGGTCCATGCTTCCCGATACCTGCTTAAGCCGAGGCACTAGAACGCCGCATGTTAACGTTTCGGTAGGAGATTTCGGCCCCTCCACGCTATCCTACTTGGGAGATGCAATAGCAAGCTTCCGCCCATCAGACCCCGAGATCACCTGCGATAGGCTTTGCTCGGGGTACGCAGGGAGAGTGCGGTCGCGACCCGAAACGTCTGGACCCCTAAGCCTGCATACATATCGCACCCAGCTTCCACTGCTAGTTGACATCTACTATACCTAATATTGGCTTTATATATATATACAAAAATTCAGAGGCTTACGAAAGTTGCGGTATTATTAAAGTCACTACTGCGCATGCCCAGATGATTTCTTTGATAATTTGCGACTAAGTGAGCTAATTGCCACAAATATAGTGCAAGTACATATAGTTAGTCGTTGCCATGACTATAAACAATTGGTCGAATGTACTGCGCATGCGCAGATGATTTATCCATTTAATTGTTACTAAGCTACTTTACTTCAAATTCGGTGCTTGTAGATGCAGCTGGTCGTTGCCATAACTATGAAGTCAAAAACTGTCAAGTTAAATGCGCATGCTCAGTTGATATCTTTAATAATTTGTTAGTAAGCAAGTTATCTACTCCCTAATTGATTCTAATAAATGCAGTTGGTCATTTCCATGATCGTTTACTCAGACAATTGGTCAAATAGACTTTGCTTGACTGCATTTCCAAGCGTACTGCGCATTTCAGCGTACTGCGCATGCTCAGATGATTTTGCGTACATTTATGTGACCAAACGATTTAATCACTCAGAAAGCGATGAAAATAGATCCAGCTTGTCGTTACCATGACTATGAAATGAAAAATTTGTCAAATGGACTGTGCAGACTCATGAAGTTTAAAGCCTAGTGCCAAACACTAATATATGGGGCGCCATCTGTGGTTTTATTATTTAACCGCATAACACTGTGATTTTCCCTGATTTATTAAATAACCAATTTCTTATTTTGGTTATTTAATAAATAACCACTTTATGAAAACATCGAAAATTGGTTATTTATTAAATAACCAGTTTCTACACACGCCGAAAATTGGTTATTTATTAAATAACCATTTTCTACACACGCCGAAAATTGGTTATTTATTAAATAACCAGTTTCTGCGCACGCGAAAAAATGGTTATTTATAAATAACCAAAATAATTTCGAGACACTTGGCGTGCCAAATGACGTCAGCAAGCAATAAAATAATTTTCTCAGTCCTCCCCTGGATAAGCACGCATTTCCGCACTGTCGCGTTATTGAAATTAGATCGCTTGTCGCGAAAAATTTCATTTTGTCTGTAAGTTTCCCGCTCGGCGTGTTTTCTATTTGTCTTTTTTGTCAAATAAATATGTCTCAAACGCACAATCTCCAAAGAGCAATTACCGAGGCCGTAGGAAGAGCAGTACACGAGGCACTGCGAGATCAACATGAAGAGGTAAGATACAAAGCAAATATTCTCCTTTCATACTTGTAAATATTCAATGTGTGATATGCGTCGAATCACGAGGTCGTCGATTTTACGTGATAAAATTCTTACAATTTTAGTCCTCTGATGCAGCTACTGCCCACGAAAATAATAATGAACCACAGGTAACATTCTAGTGTATATGGGTGCATCCAAGTGAAAACATCGTTAAATTTTGATAAATTTATAACTTTGCCAGAATTCCAACTCAAATGATGAAAATAGGGGTAAGAAAACTTAGCAAATATTATGTGGTATTTCTATAGTACTACATTTGTATTGAACTCATTTCATTTTAATCAGTAACAATTCAGGAAGAGTTGGTCGACCAAAGAAAATAATTCCAAGGGATGTATTGGAAAATTTGCTTCAGTTACGACTTACGATTGTGGAAATTGCCAGACAGTTGAAAGTCGACAGGTCAGTGGTCTACAAAGCAATGTCGGAGTATGGGTTGTATCGAGAAAACTTTTCACAATTGTCACAAGACGAAATAGAGAAAGAAGTGGACGCCATTAAACAAAATCATCCTAAGCTGGCGAGGTCATGGTTCAAGGGTACCTTGAATCTAGGGTCTTTACATTCAGCGACAAAAGTGAGAAAAGCCATTCATATGGTTGATCCATTAGGTGTCGAAGAGAGAAAAGTAAACCAATAAAGCGTCGCATTTATACTAATCCTTTTCCCAACTATATTTGGCATATTGATGGGAACCATAAACTTGTTAGATGGAGACTTGTCATACACCATGGTATCGATGGTTTTAGTCGATTAGTGGTATTTGCACATTGTTCTTCAAACAATCGAGCAACTACTGTTCTATATCACTTCTTATGTGCTGTCTCGAAGTATGGGCGTCCTTATAGAATTCGTACCGATCTTGGTGGCGAAAATGTTGACATCTGGCGCAACATGATTTTAACACGAGGCAATGAAACTAAGCCGGTTGTTGTAGGGAATTCAGTGCACAATCAGAGAATCGAAAGACATAACAGAGCACTAAATGAACAAGTTCTAACAAGTTTTAGATCTGAATTTTATGCACTTGAAAGTGAAGGTGTATTGAATGTCAATAATGACACTGATATATTTTGCCTCCATTCAGTGTATCTGCCACGAATCAACAAAATCCTTGACGAGTTTGTTGCTGCTCACAACAACCATAAAATATCTACAGAAGGAAACAAAACACCTGAACAATTGTTTTGGGTTAACATTAGAAATGCATACCATGAAGATGATATGCTACCAAACACAAGCAATCTTGACATTGAAGAACTAGCGTCAAGTGATTTACCTCACGTCAATGTACCAAATATATCATGCCCTTTGCAAGGTGACTTACAGTTGCAAAATTTTAGTACATTCATTCAATCTCTTTCGGCAGTGAGCGGAAAAAGCAGCATACCTTGAGGCTGTTCGTTTCTTGGGACAGTCAATGCTTGATGAGCAGAACCCTGAAGATTTGCATGCACAATAGATGACTTGCCTTGTTTACTTTTGCTAGCAGGCAGATTTGGTCTAGGAAGAACTAGCGTCAAGTGATTTACCTCACGTCAATGTACTAGAACATTGAAGAACTAGCGTCAAGTGATTTACCTCACGTCAATGTACCAGATATATCATGCCCTTTGCAAGGTGACTTACAGTTGCAAAATTTTAGTACATTCATTCAATCTCTTTCGGCAGTGAGCGGAAAAGCAGCATACCTTGAGGCTGTTCGTTTCTTGGGACAGTCAATGCTTGATGAGCAGAACCCTGAAGATTTGCATGCACAATAGATGACTTGCCTTGTTTACTTTTGCTAGCAGGCAGATTTGGTCTAGGGCTTTTGGAGAACATTAGCAACAATGGTCAACCTCTTGGGATTGATCTGCCAGCCAGCAAAACGTAAACAAGACAAGTCATATATGAGTAAAAGAATATAGTCTTCACTAACTATTTTATACAGTAATGACATGCTAGGAGGAATATAGATACGTCAGTTAGAAATACGTTGTTTTACATCATTACCAAATCGTAAATTAAATCAACACAACTATTGCTTAGACTCTAACTTCAGCGGCTTTCTTATACATGCATGTCTATGGAGCACCAAATGTAGGTGAGTTCAGAATCCCATCGTTCATCATTTCTTGAAATTCTTCATAACTAAGATCATCTTTATCATTATGAAGTGGCAAATACAAAATGTGAGCGCAGGTGTTGCTTTTGGGACGAACATCTTCCCAGAAACAAATAGTTGGTTTGTCATGAAATCCTAAGGAGGCTCTTCCTCCAACCCAGTTGCAAAAATCATAATCATCGGCAAAGATACAAGAGGCTCTGAAACATTGGCAAAGCAGTTTGCTAGAGAAAAATAAATAAAAGTTGTACTTTTGAAATGGATTGTTCGTCAAAAAGCAATTATTTGATAACACGTTTGATAACAAGCAATTGAATAACGTTTATTATGCAATTAATGCCTGGGGCATTAAATAGACCCTAGAGGTTATAGATACGAGGCGTTTATTTCATTTCTATCACTTCGATCTTTTAAGGTGATGGAAAAAGCTTTTACAGTACCTTCGCACTCCTGTAGATAGTCACGCCAATGCATTATAACGAGCTCCTCCCTTTCACGTCTTCGACAACCATCTTCTGAAAAATCTGGTGTAAATATTCTGTCAACTTCTATCGCGGTCAGCGGCTTGCTACGATGGCAGAAGTATGGGCGGAAGAGAAGTGGATTTCCTTTTAATAAGCTAAGAACACCCAGTGTTTTTAACCAGTCCTTGAACTGCTCAATTGCACTTCTCGCTTTATCAATTAGAAAAAATTGACAAAGCTCTTCCACAAGCTGTTTTCTTGTTTCAAACTTTGGAATGCCGTGAAAGCCAGCTTGTGCAAAAACATCAATGGCATCATCAGATCCTACTATAGTTGCAAACGTTGTTTCTTCTGTAGTAGCACTGATCTGAACAGGAAGTATGATTTGTGAAAATGCCAGCTCAATATCGAGATACAACGTCAGACTTTTCACTATTGATAAAAAGCAAATATTTACCCGTTCTATGATACTTACTTCACAATCTTGTACATCGTCGATACATGGGTGGCAATTTTCTTCACCAAATACAATGAAGTCATACATAGAGGGGATAGACAATGTCCTGCAGTTCCACCATTACACAAGGAAACGGAAAGAAGTTTTCCACATTGAAAATACAAGTTTTCCTCTTTGCTGGATGTAAAGGAAACACAATTATGCTGTTCGATACGTGCTTTTGTAGCTATGTAGCTAAATTGATAACGTACATTAATCCCTTCGGCTAAATTTAACAAAATTTATATCTACGTAATTCAGTTTTATCATGAAGACAATCAACGCACGACTACCTTCTTGGTTCATAACCAGCACCTTTTTCGAGGGCAATCCCAGGAACGCGTTCGAAGAAAAGGCTCCTGAAACTGCAAGGCGGAGAAATTCTCGTGTCGGCCCTCCTAGATCCACAGCACCCTCGCTAGACCCGATTTCGTCGGCAAACATGACAGACAACGGACGTGAAGGATCAAATTTTTTTCTTCCTAGCTTGGCAATACCGTCTTCAAATACATGCTTGCGGCGAACGTTAATAATGTTTTTAGATATGGCTACGTCACAGGATTTTCCAACCATCACTTTATCTATGTGGTCATTCAAAACAGTACTAACCATTTGTTGCGCGCTTGAATCGCTAAAGACAAATAACCAAGTGAAAAATTAGCATGGCATCTTGTCTTCCGTTAACGCTTTTTAGCTGATTACCATACTTTGCTAAGCCCATGCTATTTTGAATAGCTGTCTGCACCTCATCGTTGTCATCATCGCTAATTTCAATGGGGTCTGGATCAAGCAATCCTAAGAATGACCTAAAAAATTTAACACAGAAGAAATTTGTTACAGGACACTCTTTCATAACAGCATATACATTGCTAAAGATAAGCTGTATATAATTACTCGTTTTTTATTCTACTATGTCATTGTAATTATCATGCATATTAATAAACTGGAAATAACATAGTCGTTCGTACGTTATCATCCAATATTGTTTTTAAAGTCATAGCAATAAATTTGTCATTCCAAAATAGCTGGTGAATATATAAACCAACAATCACAAACAGAAACAGTAAATCCAGACGTTGCACAATAATTTTAAAACAAAAATCAGTAACATAGTGTGTATCCCAACCTACTAGTGTAAAATGGTATCTGACAGCAATACATACTGACCTATAGTGATTGTCTCAATGGTGGAAGTTATATGATGGCTAGTTGATCCCTCTGAAAACTTTGTGCAGCACCTAGTATAGTCATCGATCCCTCTGAATGACTTTGTGCAGCCGGGTATAGTCATTGATCCCCTGACACACTTTGCGCAGCCAGTGAACATTGATATATTTAAAAGTTTGTTATCAAAATCATCCTGTTAGTCATCCTGAAATTTTCATTCAAGGCAATGGCAATATACATTGAAATAGAAAAGAAACCAACACTCGATGAAGAACAATTACTGCTACAACAGACATAGCGAAAGTATCACCCTATATGACTCACTTCAACAATTAAAGCTCCATCAACATCCTCATTTTTCCCATTTGGAAATGATGTATAAACATCCTTGAGAACACAGTGATATGACCTCTGGAGCATTCCATTGGAAGGAAGTTGATGTCTTAGAAATGGAAAGCTTTTTTGTACCTTTGGTTATTCTATAAAGATAAAACAAATTAGCTACTTTATAATTGGACACTTTCTTCTTCAATAAATATCATGGGCGGGAAATAAAAAAATATCATCATTACATCATATCATCAAAAGTATCGTCAATAATGTCTAGCAATGACTCAATCACAAATTTTTGTGCATATTGATATTGGTGACAGAATTCAATATAAGTGTAGTAAAACATAAAATACTTGCCCTAAGTAGTCAAATGGCAGCAGTTCACCAGGTAGCAGGGTAAAACTGAGGCAAATATGCTTGTTATTTCACGGGTAACATCCTTTGCTACCCATGCGGAGTTTAATGAGATTTTTCAATTAAACCCATATTAGCTAAGCAACCTCGGCTATTTCCACGAGGAATTGGAATATCTTTGCCATTTTCTGATGGTAAAAGGCAAACAACATCTTTGTGTAAAGCTTTGCAGACTTTGATTGGGATGTTGATGACCTTTTCCGTTTTCTACCACCAACATTTGAATATTGAATACAACTGCTTTCAAAAATCGATGGAAGAGGTCTGGTCTGTAAGACATAATTCATTTGATTGGTTGCCTGTAGTAAATTGCCATTGAAAAGCCACATTGAATCATAGTTATATAACAATGAGGTGCATTTATAGCAATTTTTAAGCAGACAAAACAAGGTGTTAAAAATTTTGATAGTGCAGTCATGCATGATAATAATCAGACAAACATTGGCCAACTTACAGCGCTAGAGCTACTTGTTCTACTTTGTGACAACTGTGTGAGCGTTGTCTGACGCTGTGGCTGTCGCTGGGGCTACGGTTGGATTTTGGAAAAAACTTTAATGTTAGATAATAATTTAAACGTTTTCAACGGCACATATTTTACAAGAAACGTGCACCCATATACACTAGAATGTTACCTGTGGTTCATTATTATTTTCGTGGGCAGTAGCTGCATCAGAGGACTAAAATTGTAAGAATTTTATCACGTAAAATCGACGACCTCGTGATTCGACGCATATCACACATTGAATATTTACAAGTATGAAAGGAGAATATTTTGCTTTGTATCTTACCTCTTCATGTTGATCTCGCAGTGCCTCGTGTACTGCTCTTCCTACGGCCTCGATAATTGCTCTTTGGAGATTGTGCGTTTGAGACATATTTATTTGACAAAAAAGACAAATAGAAAACACGCCGAGCGGGAAACTTACAGACAAAATGAAATTTTTCGCGACAAGCGATCTAATTTCAATAACGCGACAGTGCGGAAATGAGTGCTTATCCAGGGGGGGACTGAGAAAATTATTTTATTGCTTGCTGACGTCATTTGGCACGCCAAGTGTCTCGAAATTATTTTGGTTATTTATAAATAACCATTTTTTCGCGTGCGCAGAAACTGGTTATTTAATAAATAACCAATTTTCGGCGTGTGTAGAAAATGGTTATTTAATAAATAACCAATTTTCAACGTAGAAACTGGTTGTAATAAATTGCAATTTTCGATGTTTTCATAAAGTGGTTATTTATTAAATAACCAAAATAAGAAATTGGTTATTTAATAAATCAGGGAAAATCACAGTGTTATGCGGTTAAATAATAAAACCACAGATGGCGCCCCATACTAATATTCCCTCACCAAATATTAAAGAAAAGATGGTACAATGCTTTATGAATAAATTTCTTTAAAGTCTTTAGCAACTTGCAATCCTCCGTAGATTCTCCGGGAAGAGAGTCGTGACGAAAGAGGAAGAAGAAACTCGAATGTCGGATTGGCAGCGATTGAAAGACGATGAGAATGAACGTTTACTTAAAGAAAGCAGAACTATTTCTGATATTCTTTTTGTTTCAAATGTCGATGTTTACAGAAATCTTCCATCCCAGTTGCTTCAGTTTTTCTCGTGGTAAGAGAGTGTCTGAGACTTTTTATATTTTTTCATGCCACTGTGAAATTTCTGGCGATAAGTGGACAGTCTCAAATCAACTTTAAACATTATTTTTGCCCAAATAACTTGCATTAGTGTATAATTCATCTCGCCAGTATCTCCTTACCTACGACATCAGTCGTCATATGTCATATTGATCTTGCTTCATGTCGGCTTTTCTTTTTAAATAGGCTCTCGGCGACTTTAAGTTTTTCCTTTGTAATGAAAACTGACGATGATTGTTTTGTTAACCTGGAGACCATCTTACAGGTTTGTGAAGCTCTTCAATAAATAATAGAAAATACGTGTTGGTATCTTGGGAGTTGGGAGTACGTAGAGGTAACTTGGGAGTTGGGAGTACGTAGAGGTAACTTGGGAGTTGGGAGTACGTAGAGGTAACTTGGGAGTTGGGAGTACGTAGAGGTAACTTGGGAGTTGGGAGTACGTAGAGGTAACTTGGGAGTTGGGATTACGTAGAGGTAACTTGGGAGTTGGGAGTACGTAGAGGTAACTTGGGAGTTGGGAGTATGTAGAGGTATCTTGGGATTTTGGAGTACGTAGATGTATCTTGGGATTTTGGAGTATATCAATCTGGTGGCTTAAGCGTGGTTTTTAAAATGGTTTAGATGTGGTTTTAGAGGGGCTTAAGGGTAGTTTAAGGGTGGTTTAACCGTAGTCTAGGGTAGCGGCGTAACAAAACGGACCACCTTTAAACCACGCTGAAGCTACCCTTAAACTCCTTAAAACATTTTACGCTACCCTTAAAACATCCTTACTCTACCCTTAAACCACCCTTAAAACACCCTTACGCCACTCTTAAACCATGCTGTGGAGATGATTTTTACACCATCCCAGACCTCTCATTGAGAGCTTTGGAATGAGCCTCGTCCCGAGTCTCTACAATAAAAGCACGAGGAAATAGAAATTGCGCATGCTCAGTATAGAGTCGATTTCAACATTAATTACCTCGGAAGTATACAAGCTGCGCAGTGATTTTTGACTCAATCTAAAGATTTTACTCAATCAAGCGATTTGTAAGGGTGTCTTTAATTAAGCTTTATATCTTTAATAGTGTACCGAAGAACTTCACGACTGAAGAAATATTTGATATTTTTAGGAAATGGAAAGTCATAATTTAAAAACACGTCTAAATTGTGGTGGGAAGGTGAGTTTAGCTCAACTCCGTCAGTACACAATATTCTGTGTACGTGTTTGTAGATGTAGATCGTCCAGGTTAGTAGAGTCCTGAGAAGGACTGTTGGTGTTGATGTTGACTGAAGTTTCGACAACCTTAGCGGTAGTCATCTTCGAGTCAAAATACTACTGCTAAGATTGTCGAAATGTTAGTCAACACCAACGCAACACTTCTCAGGACTCTACTAACCTGGACGATGTTATCTACAAACATGTAACGATACTCGGGTTCAAACCATCTACTTTATACTGAGTCCATTCTAAAGATTTTATTGACATAGTGAAAATCCTTTTGAGATATCATGTTTTGGGCATTAGGAATTGCCAAATTTATAATATTTTCAAGTAAAACAGAAACGAGATTGCAAACATACGAATTAGCGTTTTCCATGCGACTAAACTATAAATAAGGTATGAGAATATGAGTTGTAGTTATTGCTTCTAAATGCAATTGCTTCTTCATATTTACAGCTTTCGTACTGATTGGTTGATCGAGACAGGGAAAATGGGCCGAGCCTGATTATCCAGGGTGGCTTATCCGACATTTGCCTGCGGTGCGGGCAGCATTATATCTTCGGATATTGTTCACTGGCTGGCAAAAACGAGAAATCTCTAAAACGTTATCAGGTATATGATAAGAAAACCACGACGAGATTACAATGTTGAAAGTGACCTCTTGATGTGTAAAGATGTAGTTCTCAGAGTACTAGATATTGACACATGTTTTTCTTTCTTGTGTAAAGGGGGAGGATGTCTCTATGGGTATTTGGTTATCAGCTATTGCTCCTGAAATTTATAAGGTAAGATCTCCTTTTCTTCTCTGCAAGTTTGTGACGGTTGTTCAACAAGATCCTTTATGGTGATCTTACTCTTACGAGCCCAGGTTCTTATGAACCAGCGGCCGAACATGTGACGGTGTTTCCTTTCTATTTCAAATACTTCAGGATGAGCGATGGTCGTGTTTCGGGGATTGTCAGATGGAAATGTTTACCTTGCCCGAGCAGGATGCCGATTCTCTTCTCTATTTATGGGAAAACTTTATGTCCTGCGGTAATCCTTGCAAATGTTGAGGTACGTTAGTTATGTCGGGGAGAGGGAAGATAAGAAAAATTCCAAATCCACACAAAAAGATAGAAAAGTACAGCTTCAATTAAACTTTTTATCTTTTTTTTTCACTTAATTAAATCTATTTTCTCTATATTACAAATTTAATGTTTTGGCTTTTTACGAACGACATTAATTTAAATTAAATAAAATCTATAGAGCTGTGTAAACGTTTTTGTATAAAATGGTTATTGCTTGGAATATCGACATTATTCCTGCAATGCAAATATTTTTGTGTTCATTAACTGCAAAAACAATCGAAATAGTTCCGAATAATTTTGCTAAAAAATTTGCCATGCAGGTGTAAAGATTTCGATTAGCCTCGCTTATGTCCCTGCGTACTTCATGTAAAATATTTATTGCAATGCTCATTGTGTAAAGTGTATAAGTACAGACTTGACTGCGATCAAATTACGTCATAGCGTCAAATTACGTCATTAGCGACGAAAAACGTCATAAAATCAGAGATAAGCATAAAATGTTTCACATTTTCTTAACGAAATGCATGTCGTTTTTTGCGTTTGAATATTTATTGTGGGAAAGGTTTAGTAAGTCGATTCGATCGTTTATAATTAACTTTCTTCTCGTAGGAGTTAATCTTTATGTGAAACATCTTCGTGGTAGTCAAGTTGTACCACAGTTCGTTGTCAATCTCATCTTTCCTGAAACAGGATCCATAAATATTCTCTTCAGTAGAACACACGGCCATATTCCTCCAAGAATCTTTTCAATATCACGAGGATTCAACAGAAACGTTTGACATGACCGTTAAAGTTTCTTCATCGGAAACGCTACTACCGTTTGGTAGGGCGATAAAACGATCAGCGTTTTAATATCTTCTATTAAACTTCCACCTCTTTCCTCGCGGGTGAACACGCTACCGTTGCTTGTCAAGCTGTCGGCAACGTTCGACACCTTTGACCAATTTTATCGGGAGATTCCGACTCTCGACCCTGAGCGCTCTCCGTCTCGCTGTTGAATCTGGGTGACGAGTCTCGCTACTCGTGGAATTGTAGCTGTTTTCTTGTGGACTTCCTTGTTGTCGTCTCTGCTCTCGTTGTTGTTTGTATTCACATGCTGCAAGTTTCGCAGTCAAATCACGTATTTCCTCCTGTGAAAAGTGTAAGGATAATGATTTTAATATAGGAATGTCATTAATTGAACATCAAATCGGCTTATTTCATAAGTGTTAACGGATTCTTTGCTACAATTTCAATGGTTTTAATTGAGGATAATTACTCTATATTGAAGATGATAATCTCTGTAAATTGGGGATAATAATCAACTACAAGTGATAATGATCACTTTCGCGTGTTGCGTGAGTTGAGATTTTGGCAGTTGTTTAACAAAAGCATATTTCACGTTGTTTGACGTGCGCCTATAAATGGCTTAATGCATAATGTGCTGTCACAAGGAGCACACATTCAATTTTCAAGTTTTGAGAAACTGAAAGACCGTAATTGGACGTGAATACCATCACAGGGACCAAAGTTCAACTCATTTCCCCCATACCTTCCCGTCAGACCCTGGCGCATCTCACGATCGACTCGTTCTTTAGCAACTCTGCGAGGATCTGACAAATCTCCCCTAACCCTCAAACCTAGGCCACCCACTTTGCAAATGGAGAGTCGTTCTTTGTATTTAAGACAATAACCATTGACATTGTTTCTTTGAACATTCTTCGAAAAATCCTCGTTTTAATCTGTACTCAAACAGTATTCCCAAAACATCTTACCCTCAGTTGTATATTCTCAGTTTCCAGACCCTCGCGGCTTTTCTCTTCATCGTTTTCGCACACCAAATTACCGTCCTCCAAACGGTTGAGATGAAATGGTGATTTACGAAGATCCGTCATCGTTGTGGCTATAGACGAACTACCCCGAGAACGCCTTCTTTGATTTACATTGTATTTTTTCAAAAGTATACCTTTAAAACAGACAGGAAAAATTTAATATCGAGGAGGGCAGGTGGTATAGGTCAGCAAGTACACAGACTGACTTAAGCATTAAATGTTTGTAAATGATGATCGTTCCAGGTTAATAAAGTCCTAGAAGGTTGTTGTTGTTGACTGACGTTTCGACAACCTTAGCGGTAGTCACCTTCAGAGTCAGTGTCAAAATGACTCTGAAGATGACTACCGCTAAGGTTGTCAAACGTCAGTCAACACTTTGTCCTTCTCAAGCTTTATTTTTCTGGACGATCATCATTACAAACGTGTTTCGATACTCCGGTTTCAAACCATTTACTTTATTAAGCATTAAATGTTATGTACTGGAATACTTGGTATGCTTCGAAACAGAGAAATGTCCTTTGAAAAAACGCGTCGTGCAGTTTTATAACATTCATACTTCCACATTTAGTCAATATGTGTCGTAATGTATCCTAAAACATTTCGTAATTTAATGAAAAACGACTTCGCGTGACCTAAAGCATAACAAAGAGATAAGTATCTTCGCTGCTGCATGATTCCTTTCGATGAGAGAATGTAACCCTTGGCTAATCTCTTTTGATATTTGAAACGAACGTCCAAGACATATTTGGCCATTTGTTTACGCTAATTTGTTCACCATATGGTGTTTCAACGACAATATTCAATTTAAAGTTTTGAAAAATAAAATTTAATGAAGAAAATATAAGGCATCGAGGATAATCTGACGTGTTTATCTTCGAGAGCTCTTCAAGTTGGGCTTGGCCGTTCTATTAAAAGCTTTGTTCTATTTTTTTTCGGGCTCATTGCCAATCGCATCATAACACACTTCATAATCAATCGTAAAACGCTTACTCGTTCATTGATGGAAAGCCAAAACTCAACGAAGAAAAGGTCCAGTAGATAGACGTATTGACAAAAACCCGAAGCTCTCTAGATTACAAATTTCTGCTTTTGAGAGGTTTTAAGATCCTCTTTCATCGGCAGTAATTAATACTAAGTTAACAGTACAACCATTACCTTGAAAGCAAAGAGCAAAACCAACATAACGGTGGCAATGACATGCGTTGACAAACTGTTTACGACATACGCCACATCAGGATTGTGAAAGTTATCTAGAACAAAAACAGTCCTTCTCGAAACTATACCAACCTGGCGATTATCAGTTGTGGTCGTGCCTATAGTCTTAGGAGAGTAAAACTTACAGTTGTAAAAGAAAGCTTACAAGCAAAATAATAAAAGGACTTTACCGATTTCAAAACATTAGTGAACCACGGTTTGACGCAGCGCCTGTATTTGTAACGGAATTTGTCTTTATCGTCTCATATTCGTGATCTTGTGTTAAAGTCCAGATAGCGAAATAAGAGCGTGAGGATCATCAGGTGAAGTAGGATCATCAATAATCTGTTATATACAAAAACATAATTTATCCATAGAATCATAGCAAAGTTACGATGGACAGATGAGAGTTATTAACGCTATAAAACTTAAATTCAATATATCGTATAAAGTACCTCAAATCCGACGATTTCTCGTATCGAAAGGATTCTAAAGTAAAGATGAAAATTAAGATGAAATTTCGAAGAACTGAAACTAGAGAATTTTTCAACAAAAATGTTGAAAATACCTGTACTACCACAAGATTCTTCAATGTCTATGCTCTAAAATAGAGTATACATTACAGGATAACTATGGATCCAAGTAGTATAAACAACTAGGTACATTTAAGCAATCCATCTTTCCCATCGTAAACACAAGTGTCAAAAACGTGATCAAATTACAAAATTCGTGCAATCAAATAGTCGGACATGGCATTGTATTTGTAGAGAGCCAATAAAAAAAAAGATTCTCTTGGGGCATTTGTAAATATTAGTTTAGAAATACAGATCGACTAATTATAAAGGCAGAAGATGTAAGAGTGAATAAAAACCATTTCCCGTCAAATCAAAGGAAAGCTTGGATATGACATGCAATATGCAAGTATAAAGTTGTAGAAAAATAAAAACATTTTAAGGTTGTCACGGATATTTCGAGTGCCGTAACAAAGTGTTGACGAGTTTCACATGCATTTGTCAAAACAAGCTTAAGTAGACAAAGAGCATGCCAAAATATATGATGGAAAACTTGCTCAGCGCATCTACAAGCACCAATTTCAGAGCTCGCTCTGTCACAAATTAATTGAGAATCTGAGCATGCGTTGTTAACTCCACAAACTCTCAAGCTCATGGTAACGACCAACTGGATGTACTAGTACCGATTTTGGAGTAATTAGCTCGCTCAGTCACACGTTTTAAGACAAATCATCTGCATGCGCAGTCTCATTGAGCATGCGCAGTCAACTTGACCAGCTACCCAAGTTCATGGTCATGGCGACGACCAACTGCATCTACTAGCACCAATTTTGAAGTAAATATCATGCTTAGTAACAATTTAATAGAAATCGTCTGCGCATAAGCTCGAGCATGCGCAGTCCACTCAGTAATTGTTCATAGTCATGACAACGACCAACTATATGTACTTGCACTACATTTGTGTCAATTAACTCACTTAGTCGCAAATTATCAAAGAAATCATCTGGGCATGCGCAGTAACGATAACAATCATCCCACAACTTTCGTACGCCTTTAAATTTTGGTATATATATAAAGCTAAAACTTCATATAGTAGATATCAACTAGCAGTGGAAGCTGGGTGCGATATAGTATGCAGTGCCTTAGGGGCCCACACTTCGGTGGCGACCACTCTCCCTGCGTACCCTGAGCAAAGCCTATCGCAGGTGATCTCAGGGTCTGATGGGCGGAAGCTTGCTATTGGCATCTCCCAAGTAGGATAGCGTGGAGGGCCGAAATATCCTACGAAACGTTAACATGCGGCGTTCTAGTGCCTTGCGCTTAAGAAGGTATCGGGAAGCATGGACCGAAAACGGGGTTTTTTGCTTTCGAATTTTATCTTTTTGTTTTCTTCTCATAAAACAAACATAGCAATGTTTCAATTAACTTCTTATGGCCCTGTCTTTTTCTGACACTTATAAATAAAGACAACCTTAAACATGTTTTATACCAATTTTATCGGTTTATATCTTTCTGATTTAACTCTCCCATTTACTGTTTCTCATGTATTACGAGCAAACCATACATATGTTTCATGGAAAACAAACAAGGATTATGTGGTTCCCTTAGTTAACATGCGACGCTCTAGTGCTCAACTATCTCGGGGTATTGGGAGGCATGGACCGAAAACAGGATTCTTTGGTTTTCAAAATTTATCTTTCTTTACAAAATTCTTCTCATAAAAAACTAGAACGTCAAGGATATTTCAAAGGTTCAAACAACTTCTGCCTTTTGAACTATAACTAAAAAATTCTAAGCATGTTTATACGTTTTTATTTATTACCTTTACAACGTAACTTTCTCACTCTCTCGTGATGAACGAGAGCCTCATTATAATATGACTCTTTCATCATGAACGAACGCATCCATGGGCTTCACGGAAAAAGGGATTATGTACTTTGTTATAATAGTTTCTACAAAGATAACATTTATTAAGCTAAGAATTTGAAAATAAAATATATTTGAGTTATTAGCAAATAACAAGTCGAGAATTCATTGACCATACTCATTCCAATTGGTCTGGAACAACCATGACATTTATAATTTTGACCATCCAACCCTTTATCAAGGGCTATATTGTTAATTAACGACAGTAACTTCATACGTCGTTCTTGCTGAACACCTTCAGGTGAAGTAGGATCATCAATAATCTGTTATATACAAAACATAATTTATCCATAGAATCATAGCAAAGTTACGATGGACAGATGAGAGTTATTAACGCTATAAAACTTAAATTCAATATATCGTATAAAAGTACCTCAAATTCCGACGATTTCTCGTATCGAAAGGATTCTAAAGTAAAGATGAAAATTAAGATGAAATTTCGAAGAATTGAAACTAGAGATTTTTCAACAAAAATGTTGAAAATACCTGTACTACACAAGATTCTTCAATATCTATGCTCTAAAATAATAGTCATAAAACGACAATTTCAAAAGCATAAAAAACTCAATATTTGTAACTTTGGTGAAAGATACAGGATGAAAATGAAACCTTCTCAGAAGACGATTGAACGAGACCATAACCATTTGATGTGAACTTCTTTCAAACAACGTTTGCGTAATCCGTTAGCATACCATGAAAACTAACTTCTGGTTTAGGTGACGCTTTACTAGCAACCTCCTCAACGTCTTCAGGACAATTAACGTATACTGAACTGGTGTCACAAGGCTCAATGACGATGACCAACCACTAGTCATACCTAACATGTTACCACCAGAGATCTTTCTTGGGTAGATGAGGTTTAGGAACTTCAGACAAAGGGTTGTGTTGAGCTGAGAACTAAAAGAACAAATATGGATAGATGATGAAGTGGAGAACAAGAATAGAGGTTATAGAAGACACACTACATGTATGCTCATTGGTGTTTCACAAGAGTATACATTACAGGATAACTATGGATTCAAGTAGTCTAAACAACTAGGTACATTTAAGCAATCCATCTTTCCATCGTAAACACACGTGTCAAAAAACGTGATCAAATTACAAAATTCGTGCAATCAAATAGTCGGACATGGTATTGTATTTGTAGAAGAGCCAATAAAATAAAAAGATTCTCTTGGGGCATTTGTAAATATTAGTTTAGAAATACAGATCGACTAATTATAAAGGCAGAAGATGTAAAGAGTAAAACCATTTCCGTCAAATTACAATAACGCGGAGAGGAAAGGAAACACACAAAAAGATGATGCGGTAGGAATTTTTAAAGTGTTCTTTTTATTGTTTCTGGTTGCACAATTTCATATTAATTTATTTTTATTACCACAGTTATATTAAAGGGGAACTCCACCCAAAAATAATGTTGGTCTTAAAACTTTGTCTGTCCCGTGAAAATAAATATGCGGCAATTTTTTTGTTTGTTTGATTCAATATTTTCACAAAAAATGAGTTGAAATGCTGCAGCTAGGGCATCCGGTGCGTGGGAGCAGAAATATGTCAGCGGCTTGTATTGACGTCATATCGTCAATTGCTTCTCAAAGCTTTATGTAAAGTCATTGCACAGTCATAATAAACTTGCGTCAAAATGCTTCTCCTAATCACAAAATGTTTCTTTTCGAAACGTCAGAATTTTTTATTCGTAGGTATATACACAAGCAACCTTTATAGCTTACATGCAAGTATTGAGCTGGTTATTTGTATTCTGTTTTAATAGAACGGTTTCACATAAAGGCCATTACGCACAGTTTCCGCACTACATATAGAACTTGAATGTCGATTAATATTATTTTTAAAAAATACGAAGGTTTCTTTGTGTGGAAACTGTGCGTAATGCCGTTTGCTTGTCCTCCGAATTCAACCTTAACAACAGTTTCCACTGATGTGAAACCAATCTATTGCCCTTAATAAACATTGAATAATAATAAACATGGTTGTGTAACTCATTACGGTTAGAAAATAATCCTACATGAAACCATTGTAAAAATAGCCTTTCGTGCATAGAATTAAGTTGTAGTTTCCTTGACGTAAAGTATGAACTTATAGTTTCCTAATTATTGTACATAATTGTATAATAATGGATTGCTAGAATACGGAGAGAAAATCTACCTCCTCTCCAATACTGTTACGTTTGCAGCGAGCACTTTGCTCCCGATTGTTTTGAATCGGACCTAAGACAGAAACTTACACCATGGCAACCTTTAAAAAGGCGACTGAAGCGGGATGCAGTACCATCGATTTTTTCATTTGGCCCTCAACCCAGTAAAAAGCGTCTGTCTAGCGAGCATCGTACAGAAAAACGTCAGACTGATCAAGACAAGGAGGAAGTTAGTAAAAGCATTTCTTGTTAAATTTTAATCAAGAAAAAGTTATAGCCTAAAGTATATTCTAAATATTTCTATTTTTTCTATTTTCAGCTTTCAAATATTTTAGAATAATGTTCCTCCACAAGTACAAATGTTTTCTCATTGTTTGAGCCTGAAGCAAATAACAGTTGTGATTTGGGTGCGTCTGACAGTCCTGAAGCATTGCCAACTAATTATTGCAAGCCAGAAACCAAAGATGCATCAACACAGTGTTCATTTGTTGTGAGGAGTTTACATGCCATGGAAGTCCAAACTACACTGTCGATGCTGAATACTGTGGATGCAGAGGTTGAAAACAAACACCCTCATATTGATCACCAATATGATGTGTGGCATTGTCTAAATCTGTCACAAAAACTAACAAAGAAGGCTAACATTAAGGAAATGATGACTTGACCCATTGGATTAAGTCCATTTCTAATCATCTTTGGTGGTGCTCTGCAAGTTGTAACAAGAATGCAGAAGAATTGGTGGAAAATGGAAGTCTGTCCTTAACCACATTTCCAACAAGCATTTCTGGAAGGGAACACATATTTTCATCAATGTTGCCACCAACAATTAACAGAAAAAGAAACAAAGCAGAAGAAGTGGTTATCTCCTACTTCACAAGCATATATCGCTGCAGAGAATGTGATATGTGACAAGAGGCTTCTAAAAGACCTGCCCAAAGCGAGAGCATTTTCATTTCCTGGAATGGTAGCCGCACTCAGTTAGCAGCATTAGATCACAACAACAATACTAAACATGATAAAGCATTCATTAAGTCAGGGACAAACAAAGGGCAAGACCGTTACAAAATGTTTTTTGCTAAAACACAGAAGCAATGGGTTGTAAAAGCAATGAAAGAAAAGAAAGAGTACCAGTACATTGATAAACTACTTGCGGAGGTTGTGAATGTATGCAAAACTGAGGAGATTGAACTTGTACATCATGGCAAGAATCTTCCAAAGAACATTTCTAAATCATGTCCACCCAGGAAAGAAGTACTTGTAAAGGAACATCAGTCTAGATTTGCATAAAATGTCAGTGGTGATGTTAGCTATGGCAATAGGTTTTGCCATACCCATATAATATGACGTTGAATCAGTGAAGACAACTTTTGTACTACTTAAAAATGTTCATTCTTAAATATTAACATAGCAAAACCTTTTGCTATAGCTAGTTTCACCACTGCATTACACAAACTATTCATGTAATTAATTATAGTTATATTATAACCAGTGTAATAAGCCACATTTATAATCATTTCTTTGTAAATCTGTTTTTGTAATAAATTAATAATAATAAATGTGCATAGCATGACCTATAAATGAGCTGGCTATGCCACTTTAATATTGACATACAAAGTAATTGTAATGAGTATACCTATATCATAATAAAATACTTCATTCATCAACATAGTGAAAGCCTTCAAATTGAAATTCCTCTGCAAGGCCAGGTGGAGGAAATGTTTCTCTAATGCAGTAACTGCACATGATGGCAAGATGACTCTCACTTCTCTACCCAAGACACCCCAGCACCATCTTGCCAACTGTCTATATGCAATATGGCGGTACAGTTTGTCCTCGGGCCCATCATATGCTACCTCATATTGCTGCTTTTACTGGTACCAAACTGTTTGTAAAACCCACCTGTTAAGACAAACAGGCTCAAAACCAGGATGTTGTGTAATGCACAAAGGGACTTCGGTGGTCTCATTCGTTTCTACTGCCTCTAAATTTTTGTCACAAATATTGGAAATCTCTTTGCAGCATAAACATTTCTCGTTATTATCCATTATTTGGCAGTTACCACATTGACACCTGAATATGTTAAAAGAAAGGATCTTGAAATGTCAAAACTTCAATAAAAATTGTATCTTACAATAAAAACTTTAAAATCTAAAGTATTATGTGTGTGTGGACGTGGTCAACTTCAAAAACTGAAAACGTACTTTTAAGATAGAAACAATGGTCTAGAATAATATAACATTTTACTACCCACCATTCAAGATTGTCGCGCCGAGATTCATCGTCAATATACAAAAATTCCTGTTCTTCGTTATCCTCAAACTGGTGAGCTTCTTCGTGTTCATCAGCCGGCCATTCGGGCTCAAACTGATATGGCCGAATATTGTTTGTTGGATTGTCTTCCATTTCACTATCGATTGGTGAATTAGGCCGAGGTTCTTCCAAAAAAGCCATTATAAGCGATTGTTTTGTTTTTTGTGCAAGGCTGTGCGTTATTATTTTACTTTGTTGTAAACTCAACTCCAAATCGGTTTGACGATATGAGGTCAAAATAATTTCCGCTGACGCTTTCTGTGCCCACGCTGCTAAGCCTCAAAACAGCTCAAATAGCGCACTTGAAGACGCGATTTTGTCAAAAATAAAATAGCTGATGTAAAAATTTCAAAAATATAGTAACCTTTGCATAAAAATGGAACTTTTAAGACCAACATTATTTTTGGGTGGAGTTCCCCTTTAACAAAAGTATGTGTACAAATTTATTTATGCCCACAATGTGGTGTAAGGAAAAACACTTATTCGGAGCACATTTTCCAATTTCAAGTCTGGATTCTCTACATCCTTTAATCACAATGTCATATATGTTAATAGAATAGCAGTGTGTCATATGAATCTCAATTTTTGAACAAGAAAATGAATTTGGGGATTTGGTAAGTTTACATATATTGTAAAACTATGTAGATATAAAATACGCTATGTTTATGGGTTTTTTAATTTATATGTAGAATGAACAAAGTGAAGATATTGCTGAAAATTATGACAAGCACCAAGAGTTAACCACCAAAACACAAGTTTTAATGTACATATTGATATTGTTTCTCATGAAAAGTCATTGGAAGTGGTTATATGTAGGACTGCTTTCACTAGAAATAACTAAAAAATTTTGAAGTAATTTAAAGAAGGCATGCATTATTTAAACACTTATTAAAAGTCTGTACACATTTTAAATTAAATAATGGTCTTTATTTGTAGGACTCTGAAGATATCTTTACCAAGCAATCTATCTCTATTATTACAGAGGAACCCAAACAACCATGTCAACATAGTCAAGTAGTTCTCACATATACAGTTATACTTTATACTGTTTACCACTAGTCATGTTTTAATGTGTTATAAATTGACAATATGCTTGTTGATTGCTTATGCATGAAACACTGTCTAGCAAAACTTTATTAACATCTGGTAGAAATGTGCTCAACAAACATAAAATATATTACAATAGATATTTTTGAAACAGTGAACATTAATAATTACTGTGTACTTGCTCTTTCAGAGTCATTTGTCACCCACTGGCCACTATACTGGGCTATTGTTACAGTTTGACTTTGCATCAAATGTATCATGTCAGCAATCCTTTGTTGTTCATGATTATAATGCAAACAAAAGAACAATTATGGTGATGTCAAATTTTATTTCCATAATTTCAATGTTGGGTATATACCCAACTAAATGATATTACTCAATACGCTTTTTTTGGTGCTATAATCTGCATGTATTTTTTTCTTCAGCATAATTCATTTGTATTTGTACATCGATATCCCCACCTATTGCTTGATGGCTATGGTTGGATATTGTGCTGCTCATGTGATGCAAATAGAAAGCAATTTGTTGATGCCCTACCTAATAATATACAATTAGATCCTCAAAAAGGTATGTAAAATAGATGTTACTGCAATGAAATGATTAAAACAGGCCAAACAACATTTTTGTACTTGTCAGATATACCATATCCGAGTTGCATACACATATTAGCAATGGAAAAATATCTGGTTGTGTATGATAGAAAGTTTGGTATTGAAGCCAAAGATTTTATTGAAAAAGTAAGTGTTGTGTGTTACTCTTTCAGGATATAAGGTGTCTGAACAGCTTCACCAAATTTTGACTTACACTTACATACTATTTGTTTCAAGACCCTTGTCAAAGATGTGAGAACTTGTTACATATTAATCTGACATTGCATGTAGTGAATGTCTCAAATTTGTATTTGGCTTATTTTTCAATGTAAAGTTCTTCATGTGGTATGGGAGAAAATGTCTTCATCCTTAAATATCAGTTTATTGTACATTTCAAACCCTTGTGAAGTCATCCTTCTGTGTTTTACAAGACCCTTGTTCGACATTGTTCTTATTACATGTGGATGTTAACCCTTTACAGCTTTACAAGCAAAATATTGTTAAAACTTGTGAATGATTATTTACACAATATATTTATCTCATGGAATTTCTTTTATGAATGCAGAATCCACATCCATGATGCAGTCTGTTTTCAGTGATCATTCCTACCATGAGATGCAACCTGAAGAAGTATATTTTGTTATGTGAAAATAACTTTTTTGTACAAATACACGTATTGTTTCTCAACCTTCTAATACCCCACAATTTGTTACCATACATCCTGTGCCTAAGTTCAGGAGCTTCTATAAAGCTATTAGGGTGATAACCAACAGGGCAAATTGAATTTATTTATGACTATTGAGGTATACACATTCATACTCACATACATACATAGCCACATACTTACAGTACATACATTAAGTAGTATAAACTAAATGTATGACAAAAATAGTAAAGTCATATTCACCATTTGCTTTACGTGCCTGATATATATATATTAAGCACTTTCTAAGGATTTTGTGAAGTCATAATTAATCATAATTATTAATCTGCATACACATACACACACATACATACACACACATACATACACACACATACATACACACACATACATACACACACATACATACACACACATAATACAACCTTAAAGATAAATGATTTTACATATTTTAGGACTTGTTTAGTGCAGTGTGCAGGGAGGTTCAGTGGATTGCTGTAAAACCAGTGAATAGTCCATGGGGGGTTTGTACTTTAGTGTATTCAAAAGTAATGCCGCCCAGCCCGAGTTAAAATGTTGCAGCTATTCGTCATATCATTGCATTCATGTGACAACCCTTGCAAAAGCCATGCAAATCGTTGACGAGGATGAAATGGATTCTCCATTGGCACTTTTTAAGTTTTCCTTTGGAATTACACCAGATGCGAGACTATTTTGAATTGGCTACACTTAGCAAAGAAAAGGTTTCTTTATTTGAAACAAGTATGCAAGATAATCTGCAATGGTGAACATCCTTTTAGCTTTACATATACTATTTCCTTTATCGGTATGGTATTTAGCACTTTCTAGCATTTTGTAAATATTACTATTTAATTATTTTAGGCAATGAGAATGATGCAAGCGATTTTACTGATCTTCCTGAAAAAAATGGTCATAAAATTTTGGCGCCATCTGAAAGTGGTATTTGTTCTTGTGGTGCAGAGTGGGATAAACGTTCTATTCAAGATGAATGGTTGTACGTAGACTTGTGTTCAGTTGCGTACTTTTGTTCAATCCATGATGTGAAGGGTAAGTTCTGATTTGTTATAGGTTACGCTTCACTTCATAATTATTTGACTTAAATAAATTATTTAGTGTATTGTAGACCTTGCTCCTCTTGTGCTACGAAAAGCATTATGATGGCATTGAAAACAGGATTGTATGGTTTGGATCATATGCAATATCTCATGCCGATCTAAAGATTACATTCGGCTTTTCATAACGGCTTTTCGAGGTACTTTTAATGAAAATTTGCCGAAGCATTAGTAGCTACGTTTGTCCATTATTTAATTTTCTCGCACTATATCTTTTGAATGTTTTTCTTTTTATTCTTGTTCAGTTTACCTATGTACAAATATTATGTTGCATATGTACAAAGGCAAGTGTCTTCGGGTAGTTTGAATTTCCCAAAGGAAATAACTTACGCCAAGTTTCGTCTCGCTATCATTGCCATGATACGGTAAGCATCATTTCATTTTCAGCTGCAAAATATGAATATTCCATTGAGATAGTGATCGCTTGTTTTATTAAGTTATTGAATTTTCTCTTATTAAGGTTGCTTGATATTGATTTTGACAATGGGTTTTTGTGAATTATGTGGAAGAATTCCCAGAAGGTGGTGATGGATGGAACAACTCTTGGAATACAGAAAACTTTCTTACCAAATAATTTAAGAGAGTCTGATACTGGATTGCTAGATTGAAGATAAGTATTTTGAAGTTTATCTGTAATATATAATATATACAGGTCTGCTAATTAGTAAATACGAGTGTTCATCTACGTATCAGAAAGCATTTTATGCATGATGGTGACTTCTCTCATTTTGTTTTTGTACACAGCTTATAGTTATAAAAATAACAACCTGTTTTCTTAACAGGTTTGTTCTCATAACAAAGTACATAATCCCTTTTTTCCGTGAAGCCCATGGATGCGTTCGTTCATGATGAAAGAGTCATGTATAATGAGGCTCTCGTTCATCGAGAGAGTTATGAGAAAGTTACGTTGTAAAGGTAATAAGTAAAAACGTATAAACATGCTTAGAGTTTTTAAGTTATAGTTCAAAAGGCAGAAGTTGTTTGAACCTTTGAAGTATCCTTGGACGTTCTAGTTTTTATGAGAAGAATTCTTGTAAAGAAAAGATAAATTTTGAAAACCAAAGAATCCCGTTTACGTCCATGCCTCCCGATACCCCGAGATAGTTGAGCACTAGAGCGTCGCATGTTAACTAAGGGAACCACATAATCCTTGTTTGTTTTCCATGAAACATATGTATGGTTTGCTCGTAATACATGAGAAACAGTAAATGGGAGAGTTAAATCAGAAAGATATAAACCGATAAAATTGGTATAAAACATGTTTAAGGTTGTCTTTATTTATAAGTGTCAGAAAAGACAGGGTCATAAGAAGTTAATTGAAACATTGCTTGGTTTGTTTTATGAGAAGAAAACAAAAAGATAAAATTCGAAAGCAAAAAACCCCGTTTTCGGTCCATGCTTCCCGATACCTTCTTAAGCGCAAGGCACTAGAACGCCGCATGTTAACGTTTCGGTAGGAGATTTCGGCCCCTCCACGCTATCCTACTTGGGAGATGTAATTGAAGAGCTTTCACAAACCTGTAAGATGGTCTCCAGGTTAACAAAACAATCATCGTCAGTTTTCATTACAAAGGAAAAACTTAAAGTCGCCGAGAGCCTATTTAAAAAGAAAAGCCGACATGAAGCAAGATCAATATGACATATGACGACTGATGTCGTAGGTAAGGAGATACTGGCGAGATGAATTATACACTAATGCAAGTTATTTGGGCAAAAATAATGTTTAAAGTTGATTTGAGACTGTCCACTTATCGCCAGAAATTTCACAGTGGCATGAAAAAATATAAAAAGTCTCAGACACTCTCTTACCACGAGAAAAACTGAAGCAACTGGGATGGAAGATTTCTGTAAACATCGACATTTGAAACAAAAAGAATATCAGAAATAGTTCTGCTTTCTTTAAGTAAACGTTCATTCTCATCGTCTTTCAATCTCTGCCACTCCGACATTCGAGTTTCTTCTTCCTCTTTTGTCACGACTCTCTTCCCCGGAGAATCTACGGAGGATTGCAAGTTGCTACAGACTTTAAAGAAATTTATTCATAAAGCATTGTACCATCTTTTCTTTTAATATTTGGTGAGGGAATATTAGTGTTTGGCACTAGGCTTTAAACTTCATATGAGTCTGCACAGTCCATTTGACAAATTTTTCAATTTCATAGTCATGGTAACGACAAGCTGGATCTATTTTCATCGCTTTCTGAGTGATTAAATCGTTTGGTCACATAAATGTACGCAAAATCATCTGAGCATGCGCAGTACGCTTGGAAATGCGCAGTACAAGCAAAGTCTATTTGACCAATTGTCTGAGTAAACGATCATGGAAATGACCAACTGCATTTATTAGAATCAATTAGGGAGTAGATAACTTGCTTACTAACAAATTATTAAAGATATCAACTGAGCATGCGCAGTTCACTTGACAGTTTTTGACTTCATAGTTATGGCAACGACCAGCTGCATCTACAAGCACCGAATTTGAAGTAAATAGCATGCTTAGTAACAATTAAATGGATAAATCATCTGCGCATGCGCAGGTGCATGCGCAGTACATTCGACCAATTGTTTATAGTCATGGCAACGACTAACTATATGTACTTGCACTATATTTGTGGCAATTAGCTCACTTAGTCGCAAATTATCAAAGAAATCATCTGGGCATGCGCAGTAGTGACTTTAATAATACCGCAACTTTCGTAAGCCTCTGAATTTTTGTATATATATATAAAGCCAATATTAGGTATAGTAGATGTCAACTAGCAGTGGAAGCTGGGTGCGATATGTATGCAGTGGCTTAGGGGTCCAGACGTTTCGGGTCGCGACCGCACTCTCCTGCGTACCCCGAGCAAAGCCTATCGCAGGTGATCTCGGGGTCTGATGGGCGGAAGCTTGCTATTGCATCTCCCAAGTAGGATAGCGTGGAGGGCCGAAATCTCCTACCGAAACGTTAACATGCGGCGTTCTAGTGCCTCGGCTTAAGCAGGTATCGGGAAGCATGGACCGAAAACGGGGTTTTTTGCTTTTGAATTTAATCTTTTTTTTGTATAAAAAGAAACTAGAACATTCAAGGATATTGCAAAAGTTAAAAAAAATTCCGCCTTAATGACTTATAATTTAAACCAACTGTAAATATGTTTATACGCTTTTTACATGTTAACTTTTGAACTTGCAAGGAGCAGTCAAGCGTCTCACTGTGATAAACCTACGAAGTATTCTTTCTCTCATTTTCTTGTTTAGAAAAAGTTATCAACTAAGTGGTCGAACTCTTCGTAAACTACCATTCCTTGCACATGCGCTGTACTCAAAAGTAAGTAATACGAATTAAAGCCTTCACCCGTGTTCTTTTTGTTGTACATGCATGTACTTATATTGTCCCTCAAACCTACGTAATAGGCGCAAACGATAACCTTAGAAGAGTTTTGAATAATCTTTCAATGGTTGTCGACAAGCAGTTCAAAGAAAAGAGAATCTTTGCTCAGTTGGTGAAGAAAAAGCGTGCAACGTGATTTTTAGCGATTGTATACTTTTATACATTCATAGTAATATGAATGTATAAAAGTATAAATATAAATCTTCATGATATGAGATAATAACTCTCATATCATGAAGACATACGTTGTAAACGTTCTCTGGTATTGAAGACATACTTTGTAAACGTTCCCTTGTATAGAAGAAATACGTTGTAAGCGTTCTCTGGTATTGAAGACATACTTTGTAAACGTTCTCTGGTATTGAAAAAATACGTTGTAAACGTTCTCTGATATTGAAGACATACGTTGTAAACGTTCTCTGGTATTGAAGAAATACGTTGTAAACGTTCTCTGGTATTGAAGAAATACTTTGTAAACGTTCTCTGGTATTGAAGAAATACGTTGTAAACGTTCTCTGGTATTGAAGAAATACTTTGTAAACGTTCTCTGGTATTGAAGAAATACTTTGTAAACGTTCTCTGGTATTGAAGAAATACGTTGTAAACGTTCTCTGGTATTGAAGAAATACTTTGTAAACGTTCTCTGGTATTGAAGAAATACGTTGTAAACGTTCTCTGGTATTGAAGAAATACTTTGTAAACGTTCTCTGGTATTGAAGAAATACGTTGTAAACGTTCTCTTGTATTGAAGAAATACTTTGTAAACGTTCTCTGGTATTGAAGAAATACTTTGTAAACGTTCTCTGGTATTGAAGAAATACGTTGTAAACGTTCTCTGGTATTGAAGAAATACTTTGTAAACGTTCTCTGGTATTGAAGAAATACGTTGTAAACGTTCTCTGGTATTGAAGAAATACTTTGTAAACGTTCTCTGGTATTGAAGAAATACGTTGTAAACGTTCTCTGGTATTAAAGAAATTCGTTGTAAACGCGACAGGCCAATTTGAAACACTGTTCTACACTTTACCTTCACAAATATTGTGTTTGCTGTAACGTTTCACACGCTAAGTAGCTCTAATTGAATACAAAACACACTACAGCTACCCTCAAGAAAATTCAGTGTTTTCCCTGTGCTTACCTTTTATTTAGAGATGAATGTCGTCTTGCATAGCCAACCCATGATTCACGTAAACTTTGCCTCAAATCAAAGTTGCCGCGCGATGAAAGTATTCCAACGACCAAATCATAATGAGAATAATTCTCTGCTGTCAAGAACATTATTTTAAAACATTAAAGAAAACAAGTGGAAACACAAATACAAAAATGGACTATGTAGGATAAAGTTTTTAGATAACATGGTTAAATAACACTAGCGAAAGTTTCAATAAAAGATCACTCTTGATGAAAACATAAGACTGGAGTATATAAGGACTCAAGATTCAACATCAGATCACTCCTGATGAAGACACTAGACTGGAGTATATAACGACTCAAGATTCAACATCAGATCACTCCTGATGAAGACACTAGACTGGAGTATATAAGGACTCAAGATTCAACATCAGATCACTCCAGATGAAGACATTAGTCTAGAGTATATAAGGACTCAACATTCAACATCAGATCACTCCTGATGAAGACACTAGACTGGAGTATATAACGACTCAAGATTCAACATCAGATCACTCCTGATGAAAACATAAGACTGGAGTATATAAGGACTAAAGTTTCAACATCAGATCACTCCTGATGAAGACACTAGACTGGGGTATATAACGACTCAAGATTCAACATCAGATCACTCCTGATGAAAACATAAGACTGGAGTATATAAGGACTAAAGTTTCAACATCAGATCACTCCTGATGAAGACACTAGACTGGAGTATATAAGGACTCAAGATTCAACATCAGATCACTCCTGATGAAAACATAAGACTGGAGTATATAAGGACTCAAGATTCAACATCAGATCACTCCTGATGAAGACACTAGACTGGAGTATATAAAGACTCAAGTTTCAACATCAGATCACTCCTGATGAAGACACTACGCTAGAGTATATGTAAACTCATCTTTCAAAAACATATCGTTTATACTCAAGATATTAGATAGACGTACGACAATCTATAATGTCATATAAATCACGATAAAAAATCTGGTCCCCGGAGTCGACATGCTATCAGGCAGGCAACAAACAAAGATGAGATAGCTGTACAAACCTGTATTATCGCAGCAAAGCTTCAAATCTTTAACAACAAGATGATTATAGCTGTATAACACGAAAATAGCGATCAATATTAGTAAAGTTGGCTTAAGGATGTCATTTAATGTAAACATAAGTTGAAATTAAACAGTTACAATTAACTATAGCGTATAAATATCTTTCCCTATGTAAAATAATCTATACATTATCCTCAATAACGAACTATACACATTGTTGCATTTTAATATATACGAACTTTGACCTCGGGTGTGTTGCGTAAACATCATGTAAGGAGTCTTAAAGCATCAATATAAATTAGCAAACTTTGTGATCTATGTTACTTATTGAACTTAAATTGAGCAATACAAAATCTTAATCTTCAACAAAACATATCCAAAATATTACTATGAATGTATAAAAGTATACAATCGCTAAAAAGATCACGTTTGCACGCTTTTTCTTCACCAACTGAGCAAAGATTCTCTTTTTCTTTGAACTGCTTGTCGACAACCATTGAAAGATTATTCAAAAACTCTTCTAAGGTTATCGTTTGCGCCTATTACGTAGGTTTGAGGGACAATATAAGTACATGCATGTACAACAAAAAGAACACGGGTGAAGGCTTTAATTCGTATTACTTACTTTTGAATACAGCGCATGTGCAAGGAATGGTAGTTTACGAAGAGTTCGACCACTTAGTTGATAACTTTTTCTAAACAAGAAAATGAGAGAAAGAATACTTCGTTGGTTTATCACAGTGAGACGCTTGACTGCTCCTTGCAAGTTCAAAAGTTAACATGTAAAAAGCGTATAAACATATTTACAGTTGGTTTAAATTATAAGTCATTAAGGCGGAATTTTTTAACTTTTGCAATATCCTTGAATGTTCTAGTTTCTTTTATACAAAAAGATTAAATTCAAAAGCAAAAAACCCCGTTTTCGGTCCATGCTTCCCGATACCTGCTTAAGCCGAGGCACTAGAACGCCGCATGTTAACGTTTCGGTAGGAGATTTCGGCCCCTCCACGCTATCCTACTTGGGAGATGCAATAGCAAGCTTCCGCCCATCAGACCCCGAGATCACCTGCGATAGGCTTTGCTCGGGGTACGCAGGGAGAGTGCGGTCGCGACCCGAAACGTCTGGACCCCTAAGCCACTGCATACATATCGCACCCAGCTTCCACTGCTAGTTGACATCTACTATACCTAATATTGGCTTTATATATATATACAAAAATTCAGAGGCTTACGAAAGTTGCGGTATTATTTAAGTCACTACTGCGCATGCCCAGATGATTTCTTTGATAATTTGCGACTAAGTGAGCTAATTGCCACAAATATAGTGCAAGTACATATAGTTAGTCGTTGCCGTGACTATAAACAATTGGTCGAATGTACTGCGCATGCGCAGATGATTTATCCATTTAATTGTTACTAAGCATGCTATTTACTTCAAATTCGGGGCTTGTAGATGCAGCTGGTCGTTGCCATAACTATGAAGTCAAAAACTGTCAAGTGAACTGCGCATGCTCAGTTGATATCTTTAATAATTTGTTAGTAAGCAAGTTATCTACTCCCTAATTGATTCTAATAAATGCAGTTGGTCATTTCCATGATCGTTTACTCAGACAATTGGTCAAATAGACTTTGCTTGTACTGCGCATTTCCAAGCGTACTGCGCATGCTCAGATGATTTTGCGTACATTTATGTGACCAAACGATTTAATCACTCAGAAAGCGATGAAAATAGATCCAGCTTGTCGTTACCATGACTATGAAATTGAAAAATTTGTCAAATGGACTGTGCAGACTCATATGAAGTTTAAAGCCTAGTGCCAAACACTAATATTCCCTCACCAAATATTAAAAGAAAAGATGGTACAATGCTTTATGAATAAATTTCTTTAAAGTCTGTAGCAACTTGCAATCCTCCGTAGATTCTCCGGGGAGAGAGTCGTGACAAAGAGGAAGAAGAAACTCGAATGTCGGAGTGGCAGAGATTGAAAGACGATGAGAATGAACGTTTACTTAAAGAAAGCAGAACTATTTCTGATATTCTTTTGTTTCAAATGTCGATGTTTACAGAAATCTTCCATCCCAGTTGCTTCAGTTTTTCTCGTGGTAAGAGAGTGTCTGAGACTTTTTATATTTTTTCATGCCACTGTGAAATTTCTGGCGATAAGTGGACAGTCTCAAATCAACTTTAAACATTATTTTTGCCCAAATAACTTGCATTAGTGTATAATTCATCTCGCCAGTATCTCCTTACCTACGACATCAGTCGTCATATGTCATATTGATCTTGCTTCATGTCGGCTTTTCTTTTTAAATAGGCTCTCGGCGACTTTAAGTTTTTCCTTTGTAATGAAAACTGACGATGATTGTTTTGTTAACCTGGAGACCATCTTACAGGTTTGTGAAAGCTCTTCAATTACATCTCCCAAGTAGGATAGCGTGGAGGGGCCGAAATCTCCTACCGAAACGTTAACATGCGGCGTTCTAGTGCCTTGCGCTTAAGAAGTTATCGGGAAGCTTTTTGCTCTCGAATTTTATCTTTTTGTTTTCTTCTCATAAAACAAACCAAGCAATGTTTCAATTAACTTCTTATGACCCTGTCTTTTTCTGACACTTATAAATAAAGACAACCTTAAACATGTTTTATACCAATTTTATCGGTTTATATCTTTCTGATTTAACTCTCCCATTTACTGTTTCTCATGTATTACGAGCAAACCATACATATGTTTCATGGAAAAACAAACAAGGATTATGTGGTTCCCTTAGTTAACATGCGACGCTCTAGTGCTCAACTATCTCGGGGTATCGGGAGGCATGGACGTAAACGGGATTCTTTGGTTTTCAAAATTTATCTTTTTCTTTACAAGAATTCTTCTCATAAAAAACTAGAACGTCCAAGGATACTTCAAAGGTTCAAACAACTTCTGCCTTTTTGAACTATAACTTAAAAAAACTCTAAGCATGTTTATACGTTTTTTACTTATTACCTTTTACAACGTAACTTTCTCATAACTCTCTCGTGATGAACGAGAGCCTCATTATACAATATGACTCTTTCATCATGAACGAACGCATCCATGGGCTTCACGGAAAAAAGGGATTATGTACTTTGTTATGAGAACAAACCTGTTAAGAAAACAGGTTGTTATTTTATAACTATAAGCTGTGTACAAAACAAAATGAGAGAAGTCACCATCATGCATAAAATGCTTTCTGATACGTAGATGAACACTCGTATTTACTAATTAGCAGACCTGTATATATTATATATTACAGATAAACTTCAAAAATACTTATCTTCAATCTAGCAATCCAGTATCAGACTCTCTTAAATTATTTGGTAAGAAAGTTTTCTGTATTCCAAGAGTTGTTCCATCCATCACCACCTTCTGGGAATTCTTCCACATAATTCACAAAAAAACCCATTGTCAAAATCAATATCAAGCAACCTTAATAAGAGAAAATTCAATAACTTAATAAAACAAGCGATCACTATCTCAATGGAATATTCATATTTTGCAGCTGAAAATGAAATGATGCTTACCGTATCATGGCAATGATAGCGAGACGAAACTTGGCGTAAGTTATTTCCTTTGGGAAATTCAAACTACCCGAAGACACTTGCCTTTGTACATATGCAACATAATATTTGTACATAGGTAAACTGAACAAGAATAAAAAAGAAGAAAAAACATTCAAAAGATATAGTGCGAGAAAATTAAATAATGGACAAACGTAGCTACTAATGCTTCGGCAAATTTTCATTAAAAAGTACCTCGAAAAGCCGTTATGAAAAGCCGAATGTAATCTTTTAGATCGGCATGAGATATTGCATATGATCCAAACCATACAATCCTGTTTTCAATGCCATCATAATGCTTTTTTCGTAGCACAAGAGGAGCAAGGTCTACAATACACTAAATAATTTATTTAAGTCAAATAATTATGAAGTGAAGCGTAACCTATAACAAATCAGAACTTACCCTTCACATCATGGATTGAACAAAAGTACGCAACTGAACACAAGTCTACGTACAACCATTCATCTTGAATAGAACGTTTATCCCACTCTGCACCACAAGAACAAATACCACTTTCAGATGGCGCCAAAATTTTATGACCATTTTTTTCAGGAAGATCAGTAAAATCGCTTGCATCATTCTCATTGCCTAAAATAATTAAATAGTAATATTTACAAAATGCTAGAAAGTGCTAAATACCATACCGATAAAGGAAATAGTATATGTAAAGCTAAAAGGATGTTCACCATTGCAGATTATCTTGCATACTTGTTTCAAATAAAGAAACCTTTTCTTTGCTAAGTGTAGCCAATTCAAAATAGTCTCGCATCTGGTGTAATTCCAAAGGAAAACTTAAAAAGTGCCAATGGAGAATCCATTTCATCCTCGTCAACGATTTGCATGGCTTTTGCAAGGGTTGTCACATGAATGCAATGATATGACGAATAGCTGCAACATTTTAACTCGGGCTGGGGCGGCATTACTTTTGAATACACTAAAGTACAAACCCCCCATGGACTATTCACTGGTTTTACAGCAATCCACTGAACCTCCCTGCACACTGCACTAAACAAGTCCTAAAATATGTAAAATCATTTATCTTTAAGGTTGTATTATGTGTGTGTATGTATGTGTGTGTATGTATGTGTGTGTATGTGTGTGTATGTGTGTGTATGTATGTGTGTGTATGTATGTGTGTATGTATGTGTGTGTATGTATGTGTGTGTATGTATGTGTGTGTATGTGTATGCAGATTAATAATTATGATTAATTATGACTTCACAAAATCCTTAGAAAGTGCTTATATATATATATCAGGCACGTAAAGCAAATGGTGAATATGACTTTACTATTTTTGTCATACATTTAGTTTATACTACTTAATGTATGTACTGTAAGTATGTGGCTATGTATGTATGTGAGTATGAATGTGTATACCTCAATAGTCATAAATAAATTCAATTTGCCCTGTTGGTTATCACCCTAATAGCTTTATAGAAGCTCCTGAACTTAGGCACAGGATGTATGGTAACAAATTGTGGGGTATTAGAAGGTTGAGAAACAATACGTGTATTTGTACAAAAAAGTTATTTTCACATAACAAAATATACTTCTTCAGGTTGCATCTCATGGTAGGAATGATCACTGAAAACAGACTGCATCATGGATGTGGATTCTGCATTCATAAAAGAAATTCCATGAGATAAATATATTGTGTAAATAATCATTCACAAGTTTTAACAATATTTTTGCTTGTAAAGCTGTGCTGGTTAACATCCACATGTAATAAGAACAATGTCGAACAAGGGTCTTGTAAAAACACAGAAGGATGACTTCACAAGGGTTTGAAATGTACAATAAACTGATATTTAAGGATGAAGACATTTTCTCCCATACCACATGAAGAACTTTACATTGAAAAAATAAGCCAAATACAAATTTGAGACATTCACTACATGCAATGTCAGATTAATATGTAACAAGTTCTCACATCTTTGACAAGGGTCTTGAAACAAATAGTATGTAAGTGTAAGTCAAAATTTGGTGAAGCTGTTCAGACACCTTATATCCTGAAAGAGTAACACACAACACTTACTTTTTTCAATAAAATCTTTGGCTTCAATACCAAACTTTCTATCATACACAACCAGATATTTTTCCATTGCTAATATGTGTATGCAACTTCGGATATGGTATATCTGACAAGTACAAAAATGTTGTTTGGCCTGTTTTAATCATTTCATTGCAGTAACATCTATTTTACATACCTTTTTGAGGATCTAATTGTATATTATTAGGTAGGGCATCAACAAATTGCTTTCTATTTGCATCACATGAGCAGCACAATATCCAACCATAGCCATCAAGCAATAGGTGGGGATATCGATGTACAAATACAAATGAATTATGCTGAAGAAAAAAATACATGCAGATTATAGCACCAAAAAAAGCGTATTGAGTAATATCATTTAGTTGGGTATATACCCAACATTGAAATTATGGAAATAAAATTTGACATCACCATAATTGTTCTTTTGTTTGCATTATAATCATGAACAACAAAGGATTGCTGACATGATACATTTGATGCAAAGTCAAACTGTAACAATAGCCCAGTATAGTGGCCAGTGGGTGACAAATGACTCTGAAAGAGCAAGTACACAGTAATTATTAATGTTCACTGTTTCAAAAATATCTATTGTAATATATTTTTATGTTTGTTGAGCACATTTCTACCAGATGTTAATAAAGTTTTGCTAGACAGTGTTTCATGCATAAGCAATCAACAAGCATATTGTCAATTTATAACACATTAAAAACATGACTAGTGGTAAACAGTATAAAGTATAACTGTATATGTGAGAACTACTTGACTATGTTGACATGGTTGTTTGGGTTCCTCTGTAATAATAGAGATAGATTGCTTGGTAAAGATATCTTCAGAGTCCTACAAATAAAGACCATTATTTAATTTAAAATGTGTACAGACTTTTAATAAGTGTTTAAATAATGCATGCCTTCTTTAAATTACTTCAAAATTTTTTAGTTATTTCTAGTGAAAGCAGTCCTACATATAACCACTTCCAATGACTTTTCATGAGAAACAATATCAATATGTACATTAAAACTTGTGTTTTGGTGGTTAACTCTTGGTGCTTGTCATAATTTTCAGCAATATCTTCACTTTGTTCATTCTACATATAAATTAAAAAACCCATAAACATAGCGTATTTTATATCTACATAGTTTTACAATATATGTAAACTTACCAAATCCCCAAATTCATTTTCTTGTTCAAAAAATTGAGATTCATATGACACACTGCTATTCTATTAACATATATGACATTGTGATTAAAGGATGTAGAGAATCCAGACTTGAAATTGGAAAATGTGCTCCGAATAAGTGTTTTTCCTTACACCACATTGTGGGCATAAATAAATTTGTACACATACTTTTGTTAATATAACTGTGGTAATAAAAATAAATTAATATGAAATTGTGCAACCAGAAACAATAAAAGAACACTTTAAAATTCCTACCGCATCATCTTTTTGTGTGTTTCCTTTCCTCTCCGCGTTATTGTAATTTGACGGGAAATGGTTTTTATTCACTCTTACATCTTCTGCCTTTATAATTAGTCGATCTGTATTTCTAAACTAATATTTACAAATGCCCCAAGAGAATCTTTTTATTTTATTGGCTCTCTTCTACAAATACAATGCCATGTCCGACTATTTGATTGCACGAATTTTGTAATTTGATCACGTTTTTTTGACACGTGTGTTTACGATGGGAAAGATGGATTGCTTAAATGTACCTAGTTGTTTAGACTACTTGAATCCATAGTTATCCTGTAATGTATACTCTTGTGAAACACCAATGAGCATACGTAGTGTGTCTTCTATAACCTCTATTCTTGTTCTCCACTTCATCATCTATCCATATTTGTTCTTTTTTAGTTCTCAGCTCAACACAACCCTTGTCTGAAGTTCCTAAAACCTTCATCTACCCAAGAAAGATCTCTCGTGGTAACATGTTAGGTATGGCTAGTGGTTGGTCATCGTCATTGAGCCTTGTGACACCAGTTCAGTATACGTTAATTGTCCTGAAGACGTTGAGGAGGTTGCTAGTAAAGCGTCGCCTAAACCAGAAGTTAGTTTTCATGGTATGCTAACGGATTACGCAAACGTTGTTTGAAAAAGTTCACATCAAATGGTTATGGTCTTGTTCCATCGTCTTCTGAGAAGGTTTCATGTTCATCCTGTATCTTTCGCCAAAGTTACAAATATTGAGTTTTTTATGCTTTTTGAAATTGTCGTTTTATGACTATTATTTTAGAGCATAGACATTGAAGAATCTTGTGGTAGTACAGGTATTTTCAACATTTTTGTTGAAAATTCTCTAGTTTCAGTTCTTCGAAATTTCTCATCTTAATTTTCATCTTTACTTTAGAATCCTTTCGATACGAGAAATCGTCGGGATTTGAGGTACTTTATACGATATATTGAATTTAAGTTTTATAGCGTTAATAACTCTCATCTGTCCATCGTAACTTTGCTATGATTCTATGGATAAATTATGTTTTGTATATAACAGATTATTGATGATCCTACTTCACCTGATGATCCTCACGCTCTTATTTCGCTATCTGGACTTTAACACAAGATCACGAATATGAGACGATAAAGACAAATTCCGGTTACAAATACAGGCGCTGCGTCAAACCGTGGTTCACTAATGCCTTTGAAATCGGTAAAGTCCTTTATTATTTTGCTTGTGCTTTCTTTACAACTGTAAGTTTTTACTCTCCTAAGACTATAGGCACGACCACAACTGATAATCGCCAGGTTGGTATAGTTTCGAGAAGGACTGTTTTTGTTCTAGATAACTTTCACAATCCTGATGTGGCGTATGTCGTAAACAGTTTGTCAACGCATGTCATTGCCACCGTTATGTTGGTTTGCTCTTTGCTTTCAAGGTAATGGTTGTACTGTTAACTGAGTATTAATTACTGCCGATGAAAGAGGATCTTAAAACCTCTCAAAAGCAGAAATTTGTAATCTAGAGAGCTTCGGGTTTTGTCAATACGTCTATCTACTGGACCTTTTCTTCGTTGAGTTTTGGCTTTCCATCAATGAACGAGTAAGCGTTTTACGATTGATTATGAAGTGTGTTATGATGCGATTGGCAATGAGCCCGAAAAGAAAATAGAACAAAAGCTTTTTAATAGAACGGCCAAGCCCAACTTGAAGAGCTCTCGAAGATAAACACGTCAGATTATCCTCGATGCCTTATATTTTCTTCATTAAATTTTATTTTTCAAAACTTTAAATTGAATATTGTCGTTGAAACACCATATGGTGAACAAATTAGCGTAAACAAATGGCCAAATATGTCTTGGACGTTCGTTTCAAATATCAAAAGAGATTAGCCAAGGGTTACATTCTCTCATCGAAAGGAATCATGCAGCAGCGAAGATACTTATCTCTTTGTTATGCTTTAGGTCACGCGAAGTCGTTTTCATTAAATTACGAAATGTTTTAGGATACATTACGACACATATTGACTAATGTGGAAGTATGAATGTTATAAAACTGCACGACGCGTTTTTCAAAGGACATTTCTCTGTTTCGAAGCATACTCAAGTATTCCAGTACATAACATTTAATGCTTAATAAAGTAAATGGTTTGAACCCGGGAGTATCGTTACGTTTGTAAATGATGATCGTCCAGGTTAATAAAGTCCTGAAGGACTGTTTTGTTGTTGTTGACTGACGTTTCGACAACCTTAGCGGTAGTCATCTTCAGAGTCATTTTGACACTGACTCTGAAGGTGACTACCGCTAAGGTGTCAAACAACTAATCAAACAGTCCTTCTCAGGACTTTAACCTGGACGATCATCTAAACTTTAATCTTAAGTCAGTCTGTGTACTTGCTGACCTATACCACCTGCCCTCCTCGATATTAAATTTTTCCTGTCTGTTTTAAAGGTATACTTCTTGAAAAAATACAATGTAAATCAAAGAAGGCGTTCTCGGGGTAGTTCGTCTATAGCCACAACGATGACGGATCTTCGTAAATCACCATTTCATCTCAACCGTTTGGAGGACGTTACTTTGGTGTGCGAAAACGATGAAGAGAAAAGCCGCGAGGGTCTGGAAACTGAGAATATACAACTGAGGGTAAGATGTTTTGGGAATACTGTTTGAGTACAGATTAAAACGAGGATTTTTCGAAGAATGTTCAAAGAAACAATGTCAATGGTTATTGTCTTAAATACAAAGAACGACTCTCCATTTGCAAAGTGGGTGACCTAGGTTTGAGGGTTAGGGGGAGATTTGTCAGATCATCGCAGAGTTGCTAAAGAACAAGTCGATCGTGAGATGCGCCAGGGTCTGACGGGAAGGTATGGGGGGAAATGAGTTGAACTTTGGTCCCTGTGATGGTATTCACGTCCAATTACGGTCTTTCAGTTTCTCAAAACTTGAAAATTGAATGTGTGCTCCTTGTGACAGCACATTATGCATTAAGCCATTTATAGGCGCACGTCAAACAACGTGTGAAATATGCTTTTGTTAAACAACTGCCAAAATCTCAACTCACGCAACACGCGAAAGTGATCATTATCACTTGTAGTTGATTATTATCCCCAATTTACAGAGATTATCATCTTCAATATAGAGTAATTATCCTCAATTAAAACCATTGAAATTGTAGCAAAGAATCCGTTAACACTTATGAAATAAGCCGATTTGATGTTCAATTAATGACATTCCTATATTAAAATCATTATCCTTACACTTTTCACAGGAGGAAATACGTGATTTGACTGCGAAACTTGCAGCATGTGAATACAAACAACAACGAGAGCAGAGACGACAACAAGGAAGTCCACAAGAAAACAGCTACATTTCCACGAGTAGCGAGACTCGTCACTCAGATTCAACAGCGAGACGGAGAGCGCTCAGGGTCGAGAGTCGGAATCTCCCGATAAAATTGGTCAAAAGGTGTCGAACGTTGCCGACAGCTTGACAAGCAACGGTAGCGTGTTCACCCGCGAGGAAAGAGGTGGAAGTTTAATAGAAGATATTAAAAACGCTGATCGTTTTATCGCCCTACCAAACGGTAGTAGCGTTTCCGATGAAGAAACTTTAACGGTCATGTCAAACGTTTCTGTTGAATCCTCGTGATATTGAAAAGATTCTTGGAGGAATATGGCCGTGTGTTCTACTGAAGAGAATATTTATGGATCCTGTTTCAGGAAAGATGAGATTTGACAATGAACTGTGGTACAACTTGACTACCACGAAGATGTTTCCACATAAAGATTAACTCCTACGAGAAGAAAGTTAATTATAAACGATCGAATCGACTTACTAAACCTTTCCCACAATAAATATTCAAACGCAAAAAACGACATGCATTTCGTTAAGAAAATGTGAAACATTTTATGCTTATCTCTGATTTTATGACGTTTTTCGTCGCTAATGACGTAATTTGACGCTATGACGTAATTTGATCGCAGTCAAGTCTGTACTTATACACTTTACACAATGAGCATTGCAATAAATATTTTACATGAAGTACGCAGGGACATAAGCGAGGCTAATCGAAATCTTTACACCTGCATGGCAAATTTTTTAGCAAAATTATTCGGAATTATTTCGATTGTTTTTGCAGTTAATGAACAAAAATATTTGCATAGCAGGAATAATGTCGATATTACACAGCGCTATAGATTTTATTTAATTTAAATTAATGTCGTTCGTAAAAGCCAAAACATTAAATTTGTAATATAGAAAATAGATTTAATTAAGTGAAAAAAAAGATAAAAAGTTTAATTGAAGCTGTACTTTTCTATCTTTTGTGTGGATTTGGAATTTTCTTATCTCCCTCTCCCCGACATAACTAACGTACCTCAACATTTGCAAGGATTACCGCAGGACATAAAGTTTTCCCATAAATAGAGAGAATCGGCATCCTGCTCGGGCAAGGTAAACATTTCCATCTGACAATCCCCGAAACACGACCATCGCTCATCCTGAAGTATTTGAAATAGAAAGGAAACACCGTCACATGTTCGGCCGCTGGTTCATAAGAACCTGGGCTCGTAAGAGTAAGATCACCATAAAGGATCTTGTTGAACAACCGTCACAAACTTGCAGAGAAGAAAAGGAGATCTTACCTTATAAATTTCAGGAGCAATAGCTGATAACCAAATACCCATAGAGACATCCTCCCCCTTTACACAAGAAAGAAAAAAAACATGTGTCAATATCTAGTACTCTGAGAACTACATCTTTACACATCAAGAGGTCACTTTCAACATTGTAATCTCGTCGTGGTTTTCTATCATATACCTGATAACGTTTTAGAGATTTCTCGTTTTTTGCCAGCCAGTGAACAATATCCGAAGATATAATGCTGCCCGCACCGCAGGCAAATGTCGGATAAGCCACTCCTGGATAATCAGGCTCGGCCCATTTTCCCTGTCTCTCGATCAACCAATCAGTACGAAAGCTGTAAATATGAAGAAGCAATTGCATTTAGAAGCAATAACTACAACTCATATTCTCATACCTTATTTATAGTTTAGTCGCATGGAAAACGCTAATTCGTATGTTTGCAATCTCGTTTCTGTTTTACTTGAAAAATATTATAAATTTGGCAATTCCTAATGCCCAAAACATGATATCTCAAAAGGATTTTCACTATGTCAATAAAATCTTTAGAATGGACTCAGTATAAAGTAGATGGTTTGAACCCGGGAGTATCGTTACATGTTTGTAGATGTACATCGTCCAGGTTAGTAGAGTCCTGAGAAGTGTTGTTGCTGTTGGTGTTGACTAACATTTCGACAATCTTAGCAGTAGTATTTTGACTCTGAAGATGACTACCGCTAAGGTTGTCGAAACTTCAGTCAACATCAACACCAACAGTCCTTCTCAGAACTCTACTAACCTGGACGATCTACATTACAAACACGTACACAGAATATTGTGTACTGACGGAGTTGAGCTAAACTCACCTTCCCACCACAATTTAGACGTGTTTTTAAATTATGACTTTCCATTTCCTAAAATATCAAATATTTCTTCAGTCGTGAAGTTCTTCGGTACACTATTAAAGATATAAACCTTAATTAAAGACACCCTTACAAATCGCTTGATTGAGTAAAATCTTTAGATTGAGTCAAAAATCATCTGTGCAGCTTGTATACTTCCGGAGGTAATTAATGTTGAAATCGACTCTATACTGAGCATGCGCAATTTCTATTTCCTCGTGCTTTTATTGTAGAGACTCGGGACGAGGCTCATTCCAAAGCTCTCAATGAGAGGTCTGGGATGGTGTAAAAATCATCTCCACAGCATGGTTTAAGAGTGGCGTAAGGGTGTTTTAAGGGTAGAGTAAGGATGTTTTAAGGGTAGCGTAAAATGTTTTAAGGGAGTTTTAAGGGTAGCTTCAGCGTGGTTTAAAGGTGGTCCAAGGCTTTAAGTTACGCTTCGCTACCCTAGACTACGGTTAAACCACCCTTAAACTACCCTTAAACCCCTCTAAAACCACATCTAAACCATTTTAAAAACCACGCTTAAGCCACCAGATTGATATACTCCAAAATCCCAAGATACATCTACGTACTCCAAAATCCCAAGATACCTCTACATACTCCCAACTCCCAAGTTACCTCTACGTACTCCCAACTCCCAAGTTACCTCTACGTACTCCCAACTCCCAAGTTACCTCTACGTACTCCCAACTCCCAAGTTACCTCTCTACGTACTCCCAACTCCCAAGTTACCTCTACGTACTCCCAACTCCCAAGTTACCTCTACGTACTCCCAACTCCCAAGTTACCTCTACGTACTCCCAACTCCCAAGTTACCTCTACGTACTCCCAACTCCCAAGATACCAACACGTATTTTCTATTATTTATTGAAGAGCTTTCACAAACCTGTAAGATGGTCTCCAGGTTAACAAAACAATCATCGTCAGTTTTCATTACAAAGGAAAAACTTAAAGTCGCCGAGAG